GACCCATGCTTGTCCTACCTGGGCAGGTTCCTGCGGGTGGTTGTTCCTCGTGCTGTGAAATGCCTGCCAGTCTGGTTATGTGTAAGGCTCAGGGCCAGAGCAGGAAAACCCTGCAGCTGTGTTCTCGGGGCTTGAAGGCTCCTTGGAAGTCCTGTTGGTCTGGGGGCCTGCTTATGAGGAACAGCTTCCATGGCACGGCTGACTCCTCTGGTTGGGCTCAGCCTCTGGGTCTCTCCGACTGACCCACCAGACAGCACCGCGACCTGGAGATGTTTTTGTGCAGATTTAAGGGCTTTGATCACATAGAAAGTAATGAGTATTAAAAATATTATTTAATGGAAGAAATCTCATATCACCACTCGAATACGAATTTGATTTGCAATTGTGGGAGTTCTGGGTGTGTCTCTTGGAATTAAGTTTGGAGCTTAAATCAGAAAAATAGTGTTTAGATTACCAAAAAGGACAAGTATCAGTTGTTTTGTTAAGGCCCCAGTTACAGGCTTCTCTGGTTATAATGATGAAGAAAAATATTAAAGGTCATTTAGTTTACAAATGATTTAAGCAATTGCTCAAAATGCTGAAGCTATGATTGACAAAAGCAGAATCCAAACAGAAGTCAGTGCAGGAATGATGAAGGTGGTACTCGGCCTGGAATTGCCCTATGGGAGTTTGTTAAGCCTGTGTTAATTAGGCAGGTGTGAAATGCAAAGCCGTGGTGCGGTCAGCTGGCACGTCTGCTGCCTGAACGCAGCGTGGCCGGGAGCGGGACCGGGTTGCTGGGCTTGCGATGAGAGCGGGATGGAAACCGTGGGGAACCTGAATGGAGAACGAGTAGGGGCAAGGCGAGGAGAGTATGGATCTTCTGGATCTTCCCAATATCGACGCGAGAGGGATTATTTGAACTCTTTTCATTTAGGCGAGGTGTCGGTGATAAATCTGCCATTTTCAAGTTGGCGAAATGTTAAGCAATGAACCGCAAATTTTCCATCGAGCGTTGTACGCATCGTCAGCGGCTTCCTGACGAAGAGGGAGAGCGCGGGCGAAGAGGATGCCACCTTCCTTAGATTTATTCTTCTTTACTCATTTCTTACTAATACTGAAATACGCTCAGAGTAATTTTGTTCAAATTCTTGTTAAAACCAGATTTTTGAATGAAGTTCCTGATGTTAAATCAAATCTACGCTCTTGCCCGGGCTCCGTGGGGTGCCCAGGAACTGAGCAGCTCATCGGTTCACCCAGCTCTCTGCAACGCAGAGGTGGTTTCGCAAGACGTCCGCGGCCTGCGATATCTTGAGAAAACCCCGCTACGGCTTTGACATTTAAGGGGTTT